TCCCAGGTTGGAATATCACATGTTATACGGTTTATATCAATTTGTGACCGTTTACTGTGTCTCCCTCGTATTATGAGCCCAAATTTGCAGTCCCGCAAGTAAAGCGCAAGGCTGCTTGAACCTGCTAGTCTCATATCGGTCATTAGAAGTCCCATGGTTAAAAGCGAGCACTGAACATTTCGCAAAGTGAGTACAGCGTATTGCATACCCCATAAATATACCTAGGGTGTATGGAAATTCGAGTTCTTCAGGCCTGTGAGTGTTAAGATTGTGGCACCGTGTAGTTTTGTGGACGGATATCGACGTTTCTGAGTAACATGCGCCCTCCATTTTCAGGGTTGAAGTGCGTAGGTAGGTCGGGTCGGCCCTCGGCAGCACAGTAGTTTATGGTTCCGAGTCCCCCGGGACTCATCGCCATGCTTTACTGTCTCTCTGCTCTGGGAGTGGCACAACTCCTCACCAGTGTGTGAGCTGGGGAATAGGCATGGTTATATAGGCGAGGAAGGTTAGTCGTGTCATCCGAGAGGAGAGGTTGACAGAGGAACCCGGTCCTAGCCAATGGGAACCAAGAATGGCCCTTGTAAGGGGCACGCCGGTTTATCGTCAAGGGAGGGAATGGAATCGTGGGAGAAAAACTTTTCCAGGCGTTCAGTGTTGTTTTTAGGCCCCACAAAGGTGTCTCCACCTTGTCGTGTTGGTGGGGCGTGCGTGACTCTGTGACCTGGAGAGCTATGCCAGCGGTGGTTTAACTACCGGTAGGGTCATCCATGCCCGAAAGGTCAAAGGGTAGAGCACAGACTAAGAGAGATACCGTTGTCCTCCAGGTTGGGGTTTGGGCATGAGGCTAACAACCTCATCCTGTAAAAAAGAATGTTCAGGAACCTAACAACCGGCCCCGGATAAGAGGAACATATGGGAAACGGGCTATGCAGAGGACAAGGAACAGTGATATTGTGACGGCAACTTGCAATGTACGCACACTGCTGCAACCGGGAAGGATGCAGGAAGTAGCCCAAGAAATGATACGCTACAAACTGACGGAAACTAATGCAATGCCAAAGGAAGGCTATATTCCAAAAGAAGAAAAGGAAGACCCAGGGTGAGACGGCCAGACGATGCTGAGAACGACCTGAAGAAGATGAAGGTGAAAGGATGGACAGAGAAGATGAGGAATAGAGAGCAGTGGAGGCTGGTTGTAGAGGAGGCCAGGGCTCACCCAGGGCTGTAGCGCCGAGTGGAAGGTAGGCTGTAGTGTTGTTTTTATGAGGAAAGTAGAAACTTTATGAATAAACCCCCGGGACCCATTGCATAGGAGGCTCGGTGGGCCCCACAGCCGATCTGGACGACATGGAGAAGAGAAAATTCGTCCTGCCCGGAGCCATTCGCTATACCGACTACGATATTCCGGCTTCCCCAGAGGGCAATACTCGTTACAGGCTTTGGATCCCAAACCTGGCGTTATCATCAGCTGCTGTTTTAGTAACAGAAAATGGGCCCTTGAGAAGTGTTCCATCCCCTTTCTTTCTCAAACATGTGATACGTTTTTCCAAATAGGACAACTGCAGGACTTGTATACCTAATTTTTTTTCTTTTTCTCCCCCGCACCCTGGCACTATAGCCCCAGTGGGCCTAGGCCTACCTCCATGAACTTCTCCGTTCACTTCGGTTTTTCTTGATCTTACACATTCGGTAGGACTCCTTGGGCGGGTGATCAGCTCGTCGCAATATGCCTAATTAGTTGAATGAAATATACGAATATGGATATTGTATACAAGATAACCCAAATGATTTAATTGGCTCAAGTTCGCATGACCACGAAGCTAAAGGTCTTGTTATCTGTCTTTGGGGCAAATAGTACTGCATGTACACATACTTCATAGCAGCTGAGATACTGCGATTGTATTTGACCCAAGGCCAAAACATCGAAGAAATTCTAAGTTCATGAAACTAAAGTGGTGAGACTTTCTGTTAGAGGCTTTCCTTAAAATCACATGCACCAAATTTACTAACCAACTAACTAACTCAATCCACGCAGCCGAGTCCTTGAGAAGCCGCCAGTCGTTCAGCCACTCAAGACTTTCCCAAACATTTTATGCAACCCGAAAGTTCATTACAGTGTCAACAACAGTCCCCCACTGGTCACTGTTGAGCCAGATCAAACCAGCCTATACCCCACTCTCTTTCTTTAAGATCTATTTTAATATTAACCCTTCATCTATGTTTAGGTCTTCCTAGTGGACCTTTACTTTCTGGCTTTCCCACCAATATCCTATATGCATTCATCTTCTCCCCCATTCGTGCTACATGCCCTGCCCACCTCATCCTCCTTGATTTAATCATTTTAATTATACTTGGAGAGGAGACAAGTTATGAAGCTCATCATGCAGTTTTCTGCAATCTCCTGTCACTTCATCCCTCTTCGGTCCAAATATTCTCCTCAACACCCTGTCCTCAAACGTCCTCAGTCTGTGTTCCTCCCTTAATGTTACAGGCCAAGTTTCACACCCATACAAAACCACAGGCAAAATTATAATTTTGTGTATTTTAAACTTTACGTTTTTAGACAGAAGATGCTGAACTGAATGATGTTAGGTATTACCCTGAATGTAATCTGCTTTTAATTTTTTTGGTCAATCAAATTTTGATTTGTTCCTGTCGTTCCCAAATATTTCAACTTTGCCACCTATTAAGGGGATTTGTCACCATATTTATTATAAATTATAAATGTCCCAAAATATAATAGGCCCCCAGAAATGCATACATTTTTAAAAGTCGTTATTAGTATCCAGATGCGAGGATATGGCCGCGCAGCGCAATAATAACCTGTTACAAAGCTGGTATGCTCCTTCGCGGTTTGTAATGTCGCTTTCATGCCCTGATATGCTTGGACTCGGAATTATTAACGTTATGACTCCTGGAACTTTTGTGCCGTCTATTTGCAACGTCTTTCACTATTTTTCGTCCTATTCCTATATTGGACACTACATGTTTCGACCTAACTGACCATCTTCAGGTGTACAGGTTGTTCCGGTTGAGGATTCTGCTGCTCACTGTAAGGTCGGCCGCACACCAACTGCGTCAAGACAAGCATCAAGACATGGGACAAAAGACGCAGTCTTGCTTCATTCGCGATTCGTCAGCATCATGACTCAGACCGGTATGCGTCGGTTTTCATAATCTCATTCGTTTCAACTGTGCTCTTTCTTTGCGTCATGTCGCAGACATCGTGTCTTGACTGTTACATGCCTTGACGCATGCCGGTCTGCGGCCTACCTATGCGGTTTTCTTTTCTCCTACTGTAATTTCGTCGAACAAACGAATAAGACTGCCTTCGCTCGCTCGGAAGCCGGGATCGTGGGTTCGAATCCCACTCAGGGCATGGATGTTTGTGTGCGTTTTTCTGTGTTTGTGTACAGGTAGAGGCCTTGCGACGAGCTGATCACCCGCCCAAGGAGTCCTACCGAATGTGTAAGATCTAGAAAAACCGAAGTGAACGGAGAAGTTTATGGAGGTAGGCCTAGACCCACTGGGGCTGTAGTGCCAAGGAAAAAAAAAGGAATAAGAAGGAAGAACAGTGACGCCGTTGCAACAGTGCAACAGGATGATGAAATATAACATCATTAACGCAAACTTCGTAGCCCAGACTGTATATAATCAGCACGAGATCACTGATTCTGTAAATATCTGGAGAAAGGTCAGTACGGAAACGATTGTGTTATTCATTATCCAGTTACAGAGACTGAACATGTCAATGGCGCATGCGCCACTTGATTGGATGTTCGTCGTACTTCAAATGAGAGTTTAAACTGTCTGAAAACTATAATAAAATATTGAATCTAGAAATGTAATCGTGTGCCAATGTGCGATAAATTACATGACGTGTCAAAAGTGAATCTGCATTTGTTGTTTATACAAATATTATTAAATCACGTGACAGGAACAGCGTTAATGGGGGTCTAGCCAGCTGGTACACACAGCTTCCTGCCAATTAAAGACCGTGAGAGAGTCAACCTCCGAAACTAATAGCATATATATATATATATATATTTGTATCCAGGCAGTTAACGTCAAAATTTAATACAGAGCGACACGGGGCTAGCAAATCCATAGAAAAGCTTGAAAGTTAATCTTAATTAAAGTGTACCTCCACCCGTGTGGAGGCGGGTTCGAATACCTCCACCGTGATCCTGCGAGTCGTAGGAGGAGACAAAAAGGGAAGTCTCAGATCTGAGACAGTTAAGTATGGTCACGAGTCCCAAGAGGCTCGGACATGAGAAAAACTGCGCTGGCAAGGGCCAGTATCATATACAAAAGGCAGACCCGTCCTGTCGTCAGAGAGGGCGCCCCACAAAACAATACCGTAACTGTCAAACAGTAATAAATATCTGGTCATGAGCTCCAGATGACGCTCGGAACCAAGACTGACTGACTGACCGTCAGTCGCAATGTGACTTTGATTTGAGAACTCAGAGTGAGAATGTGTGTGAGGAAAAAGTGTTCTGGATAATATTAGAACCCAAAGGGCGACAAAGGAAACGGGAAATCTAAGAGAACTGCGTTTTTAGGCCAACAACTTGTACTGTTTACATAATAGGTCTGATCTCGGTACCGCAGTTGGTTCAGACACTGTGCTCTAAGTCGGAAGGTCGCGGCTTCGATTCCCGATGAGGTCATTGGATTTTTCAATTTATCTAATCCTTCCATCCGCATGGTGGCCCTGAGGTCGACTCAGCCTCTAACGGAAATGAGTATCAGGAATCCTCCTGGGTGTAAAGGTGGCCGGCACGTAAGGCTGACAACCTCTGCGCCATCTGTGAGCCGATTGTCTAGAAAATGTGAGATACTCGACGTCTCACGGCCTATTAACAGGGATAGTTTTACCCAAGAACATTTACACAGTTCTGGCCTGGAAACGTTACGGAGGGGACACATTTGCTTGATCTGTGTATGTATGTATCTGTGTATCTGCTGTCCTCTATCATGCCCGTTTTTATTTCCAGGTTGTTGGAGGCGTCTGTGACGGCGGGGTTGCAAAACGTCCAGCGTCTTCGGTCCGACAAGTGAGGAACGCGTTACATCAGTTCGTCACAAACTATACGATTCAATTTTGGCGTTATTTTCCTTTATTTGTGATATAATTTTTGGGAACGTAGTAATCACAAGCTTGTCAGCTTTGTACAAATGAATTGTGCTCATTTTTTGAATGCATAATAATATATAAATAAAGGATTGTTATTTTTAATCGTGTATTGATTTAATTTTGGCTCTATATTCTTATTGATATTTTTATGGACTGCGGTAGGAAGAGAGACCGCTTCTGTGGTCTAGTGGTCAGAGTTCCTGGCTACAGATGCAGAGTTCCGGGTTCGATTCCCGGAACTACCAGATTTTCTGAGAAGTAGTGGGTCTGGAATGGGGTCCACTCAGCCTCGAGAGGGTAACGGAGGAGCAGCGGTGGCGGTGGTGGTGGTGGTGATACTTCAATTCTTTTTTATTTGTGTGCTAACTTAGCAGCCCAAGGGAGATGCTCGGTTCGATTCCCGGCCAGGACAGCTACTATCTTGACTGACGTCTTCAGTAGTTTTCCTCTCTCTCGCCAGGGAGTAGAGCATCAAACTTGATGATCGTTTCGTTCCGTATCTTTTCAAATTAATTATTTTTTAATAATATTATTAAATGGTTTGATACAGTAACAGCGTCCTTACGTAAACGGGTGCTTGTATTGCGGTGGTCAGGTCCGTTGAAGATGTCTCAACAGAGCCGAAACATGTCTACTCAAATAAGATGACTGAGGTTTTTCATGGTTTTCTTGAACCCTTCTAGACAAATGCCGGGATAGTACCTCTAGGAGGCGACCACCACTTCCTTCCAAATCCTTTCTAGTTCTTATGTCATCCAACTATATATATATCGATACTGAAAGCGTAAAGTAACCTACGACAAAATAGATAACTTTAGAATCCGTAATGACCTCACTAGGGAAACTTTTTCAAATGATTTCTGTGTTCAAATTCCGGCACGGCATTGGTTAAGACGTGTTCTGAACATTGCATATGAGGTTCTCACAGCAGCGAATGTGACGGCATCAAATTCCGGCAGAGGTTCACGGCGTTTCGGAGGAACGTACTTCCTCTGTCTTCACGATCGAACAGTAATCCAAACAAGTAACCGCCAATATCCCGAACACGAAGCAGTGTGTTCCACCGAAACGTCGGCAAGCCCATGCCAGACAACAACGCGCTACATCTCAGAAGATGACGCACTTCGGAGTAACATATTGCCAAATATGTTTTAAGAAGTCTCAAGAATGGAAGTTAATAAGACCACTGCTTTTGCTTGTGCAATTTGCCCATTAAACTTATTACAGAGGCCACTCATTAACCATGCTGCATAGTCGCTGGCTTCCCACCGCGATGACCCGGGTTCGATCCCGGGTCTCGTCAAGTGGGATTTGTAGTGAACAAAGTGGCGCTGGGGCAGGTTTTCTCCGAGTGCTTCAGTTTCCCCTCCCAATCTTCATTCCACCAATAGCTCCACAGTCACCCTCACCTATCATCTGGGGCTGGTACAATAGGCCAGAAGTGGCTGCAGTACAAGGGACTTAGTCTCACCACTATCGATAAAAAAACTCTGCTGCATGATCCACGTGTTATGAACTTTCTTTTACTTGTTTTCGCGCACCTCTTATTTCAAGTAAAGTGTCTAATTATAGAATATAATGACATTCACAAGGTATTATATTTTTTTATCTACAAGACCATACTTTAATTAATTATTAAAATATTTTACTGGTAATATATTTTGTATTATTTAATGAGAGATTAAAATCGTGATCTTCCGATTTTTAACATTATTGATTACAAGAGTGCAATTAAACTTATTATTATTTATATGTTAAAAAAAGTAAGGAAACGTCAAGAGAAATAAAATCAATAACAAATATGTAAATTGAAAGTAATTGGTAGTTGACTCTTCAGCAAGGATTAATAGGCGTCCTTACCCATGTAATTAAGAACACGCACTTCGTATGAACGTACGTGTAGCCGTAGGCTGTTAATTACAGTGGTTTAATGCGTTTGATGACCACGGTTTTGTCATAAATTAGTGAGTGTACTTGGTATGAAGTATATTTCTTCCATTGTCTTTAAATTACTTATTGTTTGTCTCAGACATTAAGTAGGATTTAATTTATTTCGAATTCTTTCATGATGATAACATTTATATAAAAGACAGTATATTAATTTAATTCGATTTTTCTTCAAAGAAATTTCCATACATGTATACGTGTATGTCTTATCGTATTTAAAATTTACTAAATGATATCCTCGATGTAAGATATTTTATGCGTATTGAAGGGAAATAACAGGAGTCGGGGTCGCTCAGTCGGTATAGCGACTGGCTACGGGCTGGACGACTGAGGGGTCGAAGTTCGAGTCCCTGTAGGGTCAAGAATTTTCTCCAAATCATCCAGACCGACTCTGGGGTCCAACAAACCTCCTATCTGGTGGGTACCGGGGGCTCTTTCCCCGGGGTTAAAGCGACCAGGGCGTGAAGCTGACCACTGACCTCCAGCTAGTCCCGAGATCAAGAAAATGTGGATCTATACATCAACTCCCCCATACGCCTTCATGGCGTAGTGCTTAATTAGTTGAACATGGGGACAACTTTAGCTTTTGCCCTCGATGTAAAGTCCTTATAACAGGAACCCAGTGCCTGGGGGTGTAATTAGAATGATGAAGTCAAGGATGAGGTGGGCAGGGAATGTAGCACAAATGAGGGAGAATAAGAATGTATATAGGATATTGTGGGAAAACCAGGAGGAAAGAGACCACTCGGAAGACTAAGGCGTAAGTGGGTGGACAATATTAAAACGGATATTAGAGAGATAGGATGGGATGGTATGGATTGGATTGTTCTGGCTCAGGATAGGGACCAGTTGAGCGCTCTTATGAACACGGTAATGAACTTTCGGGTTCCATAAAATGCTGGGAAATTCGTGAGTAGCTGCAGAAGGACTCAGTAAGTAAGTAAGTGGCTAGATACGGGAATTACCGAGTAGATTCTAAAGGGTTCTGACGATGGTACAACAGTCGTGGTTACTGCGTTTTCGAACTCTGTCCATCGTCCGGTATACTAAAGAACAAAAAAACACTGGAACTCTTCGCGTATTCAGGTGAAGAAGTGAGAGACATCTAGTACTGGGTCCATATAGTAGGTGTCTCCCACCTCTCATTTGATATGCAAACAAATCCAGTTTCCGAAACGTCGTGTTCTTTACAATACTGGGCGACGGACGAAGCCAAAAATCCAAAGTAATTATCAAATTTTCACGGACATTTCACAAGTATGATTGTATTGCCGATAGTAACTGCGCTAAAATAATTACACACGGTTTCAGGATTTGAATGACGTTAAAATTTTGCATATCTAAAGTTGCCTCATGTTATACAACAGAAAAATATGCACTAGATAGAATACATTGAACACGCGCAATACACATGTAACAGTAAAGCCAAACAGAGCGTCGCAGTCCTAGAGGAAGTGAGTGCTACGAGATAAAGGGACTACTTCATGGCCGCCATTTTCCATACATGGTTCCTGAAGCAGGTCATAAAATGCCCGTCGAGATGGCCCCTTTTCAAGGGTTCATTTAGCACCAAGTGCAAATAAATAAATATTACTATATACTGATAAAACTGCAATAATTTAAACATGACGCAATGGGGACAGAAAACTTATCATATTTCACGAAGATAAGTATATCATTTCATCTGCTTATGTTTTTAGTGAAGATGGTGGGCTCCAATTTGCATACTCGCAATCCACTCATAATATCCAACACTGGAAAAATACGATCTAAAGGTTTCAAGAAGCTCCTTTATACTTGGAGAAGAGTACAAGTAATGCTTGCTACCACACAGCCCAGAACCTTTTGTCTTCTCGTCTGCTGTCCAAAAACATAAAAATTAGAATATACAAAACTATAACTTTGCCTGTGATTCTGTATGGGTGTGAAACTTGTTCTCTGACATTAAGAGAGGAACATAGACTGAGGCTGTTTGAGAACAGGGTGTTTAGGAGAATATTTGGACCGAAGAGAGATGAAGTGACAGGAGGGTGGAGAAAACAGCATAATGAGGAGCTTCATAACTTGTACTCTTCTCCAGTTATAATTAGAATGATCAAGTCAAGGAGGATGAGATGGGCAGTGCATGTAGCACGAATGGGGGAGATGAGGAATGCGTATAGGATATTGGTGGGAAAGGCAGAAGGAAAGAGACCACTGGGAAGACCAAGACGTAGTTGGGTGGACAATATTGAAATGAATTTTAGAGAGATAGGATGGAGTGGTATGGACTTGATCGATCTGGCTCAGAATAGGGACAAGTGGAGGGCTCTTGTGAACGTAATAATGAACTTTCGTGTGGCATGAAATGCTGGGAAGTTCTTGAGTAGCTGCAGAATTGACGGTTTCTCAAAAAGGGCTCAGCTCCGTAATGATTCTGATGATGACAACGTATGCGGTTTCATAGGGGGGATAGTCTCACTATTGTAATGTAATCTTCGGGGACCAACAGGAGCACCCTTATTATTGACGCTAGATTGTTTCTACTCGCGAAGAATCGACCTATAACAAACTCATGAATATCGAATAGGAATAAAATGTTTCCAAACCGTTTAGGCGCTAGCGAGGCACACATGCGTGCCCTGTATATATATATATATATAGACGGCGTTTCCAAAAACCATTTATTTTCGTGTTAACTAGTCCGAGGGCGTGCAAATCTATGAGGTTCTCGAGATGGCTTCGTCACGACAGAATACCTTCTCATATATACTACGTTTATGAGAAATCATAAAGACGTAAAAATAAAGAAATAATATATAATTTTATCTGCTGTTGCGTATGGGTGTGAAAATTGGTCTCGTACCCTAAGGATACATATTAGTCTGTTCAATTAAAATAATCAATTTTATCCTACATATTTCGGCAAGTTTCCCACAGGTGATCGAAACTTTTTAATTCACTGTATAAAGCAAATATTTAATGTAAGATTTATTGGCATTTACACTTGGTTAAACACCCCCTGAAGATGGTACTACTCTGCCTAAATATAGAGACTGAGCAAACTCACTTACGAATGAAAGATACAAAGGTAATGAACACAGGTTAAGTTTATGTGAGAACAGAAAGCTGAGGAGAAAATTTAGATCTAAGAAAGAGAGGGTGTTAACAATTATGGGG